CTCGGTTTCGACGCCGTAAATCTAAGAAGATTCACAAGCGTGACAAAATCCACAGCATGAAACGACGTACGTACAAAACGGTGCGACGATTAGACTTTCTCCGCGTGACAAGTGCGTTATACATCCCGGTATCATGCTCGATGGTCATTTAATTAAAAAAATAAATTCGCAATACACGAAGGAAGTTGCTAAGAAATTACAACGTCTAACAATAAGTCGATGGTACATTGATGACCATGGAAGAGACGAGGTGAAAATTTGTATTTCAACACCGTGTGGCGCAATCAACGCGCTATTGTCGTTTTTTCAATCACTTTCGCCAAGTTTTACATTCTAGTGATATTTTTAAAGGAATCGAAGGTCTAAACCGGCAATCGACCGCGTCGCTAATAACGTAACGCCTGAATCACCCGATGTTGAAATGAAGGCAATGTTTTTCCCATTTTCCCGACACTGCATGCCTTGATTTTAATATACAATTATCGGATCTCACAAAGACATATACCACCGCTTTAAATCATTGACGCAGTAACTTTTTATGAAAACCACTTTCATAATTGATTCATGGCATACTTTGGCATTAAACGTAACTTTTACTTGTATCATTCTCAAGTGACATTTTATTGGCAACTAGGTGAACCAATGTAATTCTAGGTAAACATGTTCTGATGACATCTTTGCGAAAGGTCTAACTTACACATGATATTTTGTTTGAAAACGATCACTACGCGAGGAATAGGCAATTATGGTGTTTCGCTTAATATACCGATCGTATAATTATAGATGTGATGATACACATATCAAATAAATATTTACATTTCGTATAGACCATCGCAAAGTTTCAATACACTGCAAGCATTTGCATTATTCAGTAAACAGTCGTATCGATCATTTAATGCTTCGGCCACTACAGATTTCGTTTAATGAGGATAGGCTCATTACAAATTCATTTAACCGAGTTAAACTTTTATTTAATATGCTGTACTCTCTCGACTGAAACGCATGTGATAATCGAACAACTATGTTGCACATGATGCGGTATATGATGTGGTAATCTTCACTTCTCTCTAGTTAATTATTAAAATTATAGTCCATTTTATACACCTACCATCACGCTCCACTTGCTTGTACCATTAATATAATTTCTCCTTTTCCAAGCTACTATAACTTGTAATATTACCGAAACAATTACTAAAAAAGTTAAGACTATACTATATCTTCAGCGCGCAATTTACGCGTATCCTTGCGCATTCTAGTTTAATGAATAAAAATAGAATACGAGTGAAAGAGAGAGTCGAATGTCAGTTTCTTATTCGACCGTTTCTTTGGCAGCCCAATAAAGCATTTTATATTCAGTACGATCTTTTTGAGTTAGCCTACTAATTTATAAGCGTCCATAACTTACGCAAGCGGTTTTTGCCGCTGTTACCCACGTTCTTTTTAAATGGCCAGCTTGTATTTTAATGATTAAACTACGTCATATTTTAATTTTAATAGTAATACGTAAACACTTCTATTGCTGAGTAATTCAATGATAGAAAAAAATTACAAAAATTTGGAATATTCCAAACACTGATAAATATTCATAAAATTAACCATGCGTAAAGTATATACGCTTACTAATCATGTTACCGTAACACGTGCAACGGAGAAAAAATAAAAGTAAATTATAAATACAAGTAAAATTCATGAACCTACAATCGCCGTTAGACACGCGAGGCGTGTGTAACAGAGTATCCATACCTTCGAAGAAACTAAAACCTCGGGACCGTCCGGAAAGCTAAAACTCCCTTTTATCTCCTAGAGAGATGAAAGAGAATTGCGCAAATTATGTTTGTGTTCGATGGGCGATGCAAGTTGGAAGGGCGTAACTAGAAAACGGCTTGATAAACACCTTGAGCGAGAACATCTATCCATATATTCATGAGAGCCGCGGTCTGGCCGACTCCAAAGCCTTTCCCATTATTGCATAAGGTTACGCTTGCGGTCGGTGAAGCAGAAATGCAGACTACGCGAAAATCCCGCTGCCGACGACGTCCGCCCGCACTGTCGTCTCGTAACGCGCGAGAATCCACTGGTGCACTTAGGGCGCATTTATACGCCACCATTGCCACCCTCTCTGCGGTCTAAAGTTCAAGCAACTCGAACTTTGAAGGGGAAAAAAAAAATTCCGCGGAGATAAGGGTCGCCAATTGAAAGTTCGCGTCACGGCTTCTCAGAGATGGCCTCAGAGATGGCTTCCCGCAAAATCAATTTGCGTTTACGCGGACGAGACTACTTCTTGAAAAAAATAGCCCGCTGATTAAATTAATCACGTTGTCTTTACGATTCTAATGAACTTTGGCAAGGGAAAGGTACATTAGACGCAGACATTTAAGTTGACATTAGACGCAGGTGCAAAGGATTAATCTGCATATGGCGCATACGAGCTCGGTTTGCGTCGCGTATGAGACTAAAAGCAGCTTCAGAGGTTTTGTGAAGAAGCTTTCTAAGCGAGATTCGTAGGGAGGAAGTGGGATGTGTCAAAATTTACATAATTGCGGCCTCACAAATATCGGAAGAGTGATAGAAAGTGTACGATCACCGGGATCGCCACCTTCAATAGGAGCACGTATCGTTCGCGTTATATCCGGCAAATATAATCGGCCAGCTTACTTCGCGAAGTTCCGTATACGTAATGTTATTACAATCGTTCGAACAGAAAAGAAAAAAAGAACAGGCTGAAGTTTTCACCGCGATAGATTTAATCTGGTATTCGTACAGCGAGTAGGCTCAACAGTTTCCTGACGTTATTCCTGCTGCAGGAAGACTTTCGAGCAAATAACTTCGCAATTAAAATCGCGCGGCTCGTATATGTAATTCAGAACATAATAACATTTTGCGCAAAGCCACTTATGACACAATAAGTGCACAGAGAGGTTTAACCTGGGAAAGGACTAACTAAAGCGTTACGTACGTTACGCATGCTATGCATCCCGAGACGAACGAGAACGTCTGTAAACCGCGTAAAAGTTATACATGTCAATATAGAATCGTTTCCATCGAACGTTGTTCAGTATTAACAGTATTCAGTATCGAATCTGCACTTCAAACGTAACATTTTATGTTACGCTGATAAACATTATATACGAATGTAATTAATGCGTATATAACGTTGTTCATTAATAAAAATAACATAAATAAATAGCATTAATTTAGTATACGTGTAGTATGCAGATATGGAATATGCGTATACATTGAATAAGTTGATAGCAAACGGTAATTTTATATCGATTTATACAGGTCAGTCGCTGCCGCGCGATAAAAACATATGTATATAGCCGGTTTAGAGTAAAAATACCGGGGAAAATTAACCATCTCGGCACCAGCGCGTGTCATTAGTTTTGAATTCAATGAATTAGACTTGCGGCTTCAGAAATTAATGGCCAGTCGTCACGCACGCTCGCGCAATTGTCGATTAGCCAGGAGCGATGTTACAGCTAATTAACGCTCGCCACTATGTGGCATTCCACGGCAGAGATTTTTCCGTTATCGCTCAATGCTCGACGCACAACAAATACTTTCCTAGAGAACGTTTCGAGCACCATTTGCGCAGCGAGACGCGCAAAATTCTCGAAAGAAAGCTCATGTTTCCGAAAACGATGCGCTCGGAATCGGCAATTGTCGGATTTCGGGATCGTGTCGAAAAACAGCAGCGCGAGCAGATTGTGGTCTCTAGTGAATCACTATAAATTCATCGAAAACGATTTAATCCCCGGGTATAGGTCAAGTGGAAACTATCGCGTACATGGCCCCCTCGATTTTCGCTGCGGTTCGATCGACGGTCAATCAAGAGGGAGGGAACGCTCGGACTCTCGAAACATGCTCCTATCCGGCTAGAAGTCGAATCAATATTTTCGAATTCAAATATGGAAATCCAAATTCAGATGTATGGAAATTTATTCGTATCGATAACCCTGATAAACCATGGATACGCGGGTATTCTAATACCCGTCGAACCGAGATCGAGGTACAAAGTCATTCCGAGATTAACTATGCCCGTGGGAACTACGTGTGATAAACCAAAAATCGTGCCGCCATTATACATTGAGCGAAACCGGGTTTCTACGTTTCGTAGCGAAAATCATTTCCGGTGTGCAAGAATTTTATCCGATCGCGTTAACGAGTTCCAACAACTTCTTATTAAAACGGCGACAGTAGCGGCCAACGTCTTCAAAACATTCTCTTTAATTTCACGGCTGGTGACGACGGCTACCTTCTTCTTGGCGACAAATGTCGCGGCACACGAAACTGTAGAAAAGAGATAATACGGTGAACATGCTATGACTATGGAAATGAGGCGAGTGTATTAAATTCGAACAAGTTGAGACTGAATGCAAATGTTTCAACGCATTCATGTACGGCACAGAGGAAAAAGAGCAAATAAGAAAGAAGCACTTTCGTGTTGACGAAAAATTTCAATTCTCTCTTCTCGTATTAATTAAGCTTTTAATATTTATGAAGCTCTCGGAAGCACAGAAAAGTATCGATCAAAGCACATTAATAAAAGATCGATACGTAATATTGTTTACCGCTGTAATTTGTTTTAATGTGTCGGCCCGTTTTTGTGTTAACATCTTTATAACGCGTCTTTATAATTACGAAACGCATTGGTAAAATTCAGTTACTAATTAAAATGTGAAAAATTGCGCAAGAAGTTTCTTTTCTTATAAACATTATGTAAAAAAGTAACTAAATATTTTGTGTATCAAACATATTTTTCTAAAGTGTTAAAACATCCTACAAAAGAGTATGACTTTTAAAATAAAGATAAATTTGATAATTTAAAACATTTCAATCATCTACGAACGATTTATATTTATCTTTGTTTACTCGTATGCACTGCCATCGCCGAGCAAAGTTTACGCAAGAAGTTCACGCAAGCGTATCGCAAGTAGTACGGATCTTTTTCGATTTTTGTTGCAGAAAGGCGGTTCTATCTCGAATTAAACGAACTCGAAAACGCGGCGAGACGATCGGGTAAAAAAGAACAAAGAGGAAACAGACGCGAAGACAAAGGGAGACGAAGAAAAGCGTCGTCCACGACGGCGCGTTGTCTTCCTCTCCTCCTGTTAACTTCCTACCCGCCGACAATTTCATCGGCACGCTCGAGTTGCCCAGCGGACATGCCGTTGCGTCCCCTATAAAAGCGAGGGTAGACCATGGCGGTACCAGTGTGCTCACTGCCGACCAACATGAACAGCACCGACAAGCTGAAAGTGAGTAGCTCCAATAAGATAGCCGCTCGAATCGCTTGTAGAAATACGATCCGTATTTAGTGCGAGTCTGCAGTAATCTGTTGTAGGCGCAGTCTCTCATTTTCAAGCGACAACCTGTTTCCTAATCAATATGAATAGCCTTGAAGGCAAATTTTCGCTTGCGAATTTCTATGTGACAAGCTCGAAATCATTAAAGGCTCCCTCGAATACTTTGTCCCTTGTGAAACCATTGTCAAAAGATCACATTTCCAAAAATTTCAGCAGAATTATACAGTACTTACAATTTCAAATTAATGTAACAATTCAATTCCGTTTTGTTTTAAAATTGTTCGCAATGCTATCTTTAAAATATTTTTCCAAATCTGAAAGTTTTCAAAAATACGATGAATATTTTTAGTATCAAAGCGTGCCGCTGCTAAAGAGATTTGATTGAAAAATGTTGACGTTTTTCGATATATGATATATTATCTCGTTACCAGTCTCTCGAACAAATTGACAGAACCTTTCACCAAGTTTCACGAACATGCATTAGTCTCGCGAAAAATGATCAAAGTAAATTACAGTGAAGCCTATGTACCTATGTCACATACGCTTCGTAAATGCTACGATCACATTTATCGGAAGATTTATGAAATTAAAGAGACTCGTCGTTTTCTCGCTTTCGACAGGTACTACTCCTGTGCGGCCTAGTATTATCGGTCGTAGCCGAGGAGGCGAAGAAGACCGAGTCTAGCGCTCAGCCCAAGGAGGAAAAGTCGAAGCGCGGATTGGAGCTGAGCCTAGGTGATCATGGTGGTTTCGGAGGCGGTCTGGGCGGTGGCCACGGTTTCGACGGTGGATTCGGAGGCGGCCTGGGCGGTGGCCACGAAATAATCTCCCATGATCACATCAAGGCGGTGACGATCACGAAGCACGTGCCAGTGCCGCACCCGTATCCGGTAGAGGTCACGAAGCACGTGCCTTACACGGTGAAGGTGCCGGTCAAAGTACCCGTCGACCGCCCGTACCCAGTTCACGTACCACAACCTTACCCGGTGGAGATCACGAAGCACGTGCACGTGCCAGTGGAGAAGCCAGTGCCCTATCCAGTCAAAGTACCCGTGAAGGTGCCCATCAAGGTACCCTACCCGGTTAAGGTACCAGTCAAGGTTCCGGTCGAAGTGGCGAAACATGTGCCCTACCCGGTCAAGGTACCCATAGTCGTTAAAGAGCCTTATCCCGTGGTCGTCAAGGGCCACGACGAGGGTGGTTTCGGCGGCGGTGACATTGGCGGATTTGGCGGATTTGGCGGCCACGGATTTGGCGGCCACGACTTCGGCGGTGACTTCGGCGGATTTGGACACCATTGAGAAAAATGAGCGCGAGAAGAAGCGAAGACTACGTCGTCTTCCCCTTTTGTTTGACGTCTCGGGGTCCAGGAGACCAGGAGATCTATTCGAGGGATCGATCGTCGAAGGATCGAGGAGCGATCGGCAGAAGCTGCCACATCGTTCTAATAGAAGTCAATGCGCAAATATTGTATTCTTCATGATCCTATCCTCGAATTGTACTATACACCCCGTTAAATGTAAAAATGAATAAAGTATTTTTTTTACGTAACGGTTGCTTACGAAACACTTGAATGATGTTAGGAGGCCTGGAGAGGAAACGGCAGAGAGACGTATTAGCCGGACACGTTATGCGATTATGAGCAATTGCGAGGAAACTTTCACTCCTTGATATTACGCGAGTTGCACCAAGAGAGGTACACCTGTTTCACCATAAGAGGCATATATGTACCGCATAGAAAAAGCGTCACTCGTAGGGATCGTTAAAGTAGACGGGCGGCGGAAGGGGAAAGCGTAAGACGTAAATGTCAGAGTGTGTGCGTGCGAAAATCGCGGTAAATATCCGCGAATATCCTCTCACCTCTCTCCCTAGGAGATTAATCTTGCGGACACTTTCAACACACGCATCACGCGCTATCGTGCGCGACGTATGCGCGCGCCTTGCGCCACAAAGAATCGGCCTGGCGAGACCGAGTCGTTAAGCCGCCAATTGCGTCGTTTGATTTTTCAGGGCTGCACCGATCATTTACCGATCATTTCTGGGACGCAGTGGGAAGTGTGGAAAAATCGGAAAGGGCTGTGTTGCCATACAGTTGCGCGATTTCGAAACGCTACTTACGCACAAACGCGTTTACGACATCTGTCTGATATTATTAAAATTTATGAAAAGATATACCGGTGTGTCTTAGATAGTTGCTTTTACATGCAAGTTTACACTAATTATGCGTAACGTGTTCCGAAATGCATGATTTTTTTTAAAATTCTATCACGCATACGTAAATACTTCTTACGTAGTATGGTATGTAAATTGGTGTGGAGGTAGTTAAATAAGTGCTTTCAATATGCGCATGAGAAACAGCCTATCAATTGCAAAATATTAAGCCTATCATTTTGTTTAATAGCATTTAATATCATATTTTATCGATTAATCATAAACGTGCCGGTGCTCCCGAGATATTTGAGAAATTCGCATAGATTGTAGAAACGACGGTAAATCAACTATGTTATAAGCAATCTTGCGGTTGTGCGTTTCTCAATTTAATGGCTTGATCACTAATCTAATTAGTTCTATGCGGGGTACAACTAGATTACTCTGGACGTAATTGGCATCGCTGGAATTGATAGGCTTCCTCGCATTCTTTTCCATAAAAGTTACCGTAGGCGAATAATGTCGCCGCTGGTTTCGCTTTTATTTTCAGGTTTATGTTATCTCCAAACTTTTCCGCACGCGATTGTGTCCATCTCACGCATAGAGCTGGAATAACTCTGCGGTAATATAGGACGTAGACCTAATTGCCTCCCACGGTTATAGACCGATACCTCGACTACACAAGTTCCTCCACCTACGTGCACCTTATATGCCATTATGTACGACCCATCTTGCGGCGGCGTGATTCGTCCCGACGATAGTATGTCTTGTTAATACGCGGTTACACCGCGTAAACCGGAGCCGGCTCGAGAGAGCCCACTCCGAGAGATTCAACGTCGCCGACATCGTCATCGCGACTCGTTCTCGCGGCTCTCTTCCTTTTCCCCGGCGCCTTACTTTCGTTGTCTCGATATCGTATGATCGGATAGCGGCGTCGTTTCACCACACCCTGGACTCATTTCCGCGTGCTGAGCCCGCTTCCGCCGCGCATACTAGGCTAGAAACTGAAAGCGACTGGCACACGAGCGATCTCAAGATGCAAGGAAGTCGGCTCCTGGGACGAGGGAGACCGTCACGTTTACTCGTTACGTATGCATCGGGAAATGCATCGCCCGATGCCAATTTGGCGAAATTACGGGGAACAACGAGCGGTACGCCTTTGTTTAGGTGCCATGCCGCAGCGTGCGGTACCTTCGTTACGGGCGAGCTATATTTTATTGGTATTGTTACGGCCTCGAAAATCAATTAGTCATGGAACTGCAACGCGTTCAATATCTTTTGTGTAATCGATTAGACAAACGTGGAGACTGATAAACATCGTTCCACGAGACTGCCAGGCGTCGAGTGAAGCCTCGACTGAATTTATCTTGTTACGAGCAAAAGTGTTACACGCTGATCGAGACACGTGGTCGTTCGATGAGCAAATCGGCCGGGGTTATCTAACAAGCTGTGCGTGCCAGGTAATCATAGTTAATAGCCTAGGAAGTTCGCGCGTAAAAGGGAAGAGAGATTTCTTCGATCAGTCGCGAAATGTGCACACAGGAATAAGCTGGGATGCACATGTTACGTTTATAAATATTCGGTATAGCCGGCGCAGGATTATATAATAAGTACATGTAAATGCAGGATGACTACGTCGTTTCATTTAACCGTGATGCAATCCTCTTCAACAGGCGGCGGGCCATTCAAGAAAAGCGCGCGATTGCTCCTTCTCGGGGAGTGTAAAGACTATGTAATGCTAAAGAGACGTAGAGTTTTCTGCCAACGCACACAGATAAATGTACCGCTTTTGAGCTCTGTTGCATTACTTTTTTATCTATCAAAATGTGAAAAGCACTTACTTGCTAATCAGTTTTATTCGAGATCTACTAACTTGCTGCTCGAAAAATTTTGAAAATTGACATCGCTTTCAAAATCCACTGACTACCGAGACATATATGACAATATGCATTTGCTTCTACAGACTCGTGAACTCATTCTGTTTCGGCATAAAATTAATCTGCTCAGTCAACATATATTAGATTGTATTTGAAAAGGACTTGATTAAGAGGACGAAACGTTGTGACTTAAATATATATCACTTTTTAAGTCACTTTGGTCGATTTTTTGAAAGAATTTTCCCATGTTAATTACCACTGGCGACAATAAACCTCATTCAATTTATATAAAAAGTACTTAAAAAGGTGCCTTACGTTGCCCGATATTATTAACTTTTAATTACATTTCTTTCGAGTGCGATATCGCTCCAAGCCATATGCGTGCGCCTTGACATCGTGCGTCAATTACGCAACATACATTTTTCGCGTTACGTTTTGAGGAACCGTGACTTACGTAAGCATCAATCTCAGTTACAAACGTCTGTCTCGAAGCTGGACGAAAAAAAAACCTACGTATAACAAGGATGTCGGTACCGATGATATTAATTCCAAATTATCAGAGATATTACGTCGGGACATTTCCCATAGACGTAAGCCGAAGCACAATGCACATTTGCGATGTAAATGCGGCGCGGAACTATGATTTTACGCCGTGATTTTATGGGAGCGCGACCCCGACCGTTTCTTTTTACGGATGTTCGTTACGTCGCGACTATGCCGTTAATAAGATTCCAGACGGCGATCTTATCGCGCTCAATTAGAGAAATCTCGTGGGCGGAGAAGCGACGCGGCTGAGTAAGGCAGAAAACGATGGTCGTTGCGCTCTATGCACTTTCGCGAGTGCCATATTTCCTTATTCACGCGTGATAAATGCATCGCGTAAACGCGCTGATACTGCCATGCATTGCAGCTTAACGACACGAATATTAGCACGCGTGTAATCTTATCTTAACAAAATCTCCCGATATGTAGATTTCAAAATCAATTTACCGCTAATTTGCAGCTGATGAGAAAATAATGGTTTTACGTACATCTATAAAGTTCACAAGAAAGTACATAGCATTTCCATAATGTTTAATTTTTAATAGGATTGCACAAGTATACGATATACTATCCGACATATTTTTTCGAAGTGCAAAAAAAGCGCTAAAATTATTTCTATCGTATCCCCTCGATAATCTCACTTGTTTGCACGAAGAAATGATCATCGATATAACATTAATATTGGTATTGTCAACAGTGTAGAAAGTTTGTGTTTTACTGGTAAAACTGTGCCTCCATAGTAAAGTAAACCAAAGTAAAAGTTTATGACTTCACGAAAAGAAATTCCAAGATATCGACCAAGAAAATGTAAATATCGAACATGCGTCTTGTCTTTCTATGATAATCAGACGAAAAGTATTGTTTCAGTAGCAATTTAATTAGTGCCGTACGATGCTATCAATAGGTATTAATTTCACTTATTACACGGTTGTTCTTTCCGATTATAAAGTTTATATAATTTTCTTTCATCTTCTGCTGTGTTCTCACGTTTTATGAAACGCGAGTGCAGTTGCACAAACATAATTAATTAACGTTGTTTCGTAGGAATATTAACCGTGGATTATTTTTTTCTTCCTACAAACATCCATTTAATTAAATAATTATGTAATCATTGACACCATATATCTATGTATGTGTGAGTGTATTTTAGAATTCTACGATTGTAAAAATTCAATTGTACACGCATACACACACACGCGCACACACACGCACACACACACATATTTCACTTTTTATTTTCCTCTTAGTTGTTGTCACAGGTGGTTTCTCATTTGAATATTTATCTCACATCAGAACAAACGTCATATCCTCATACATTTAAAGTGAAATACAGATATTCTCCCATTGTAAATCACATAAAATGTATACGGAAACTCTATTCTGAAAATTCGGTAATAGAAAAAAACAGTTAAGCTTCTAACTCATAAATTATAATATTACTTCACAAAATTCTCTCTTTGCAACAAAATACAATAATTGTCTGTAAAAACGACCAATCTCGGTCAATTATTATAATAAGAAGTAATTGATCATGGCGAAATTGCACATTAATTCTTGTACGTGCGAAATGGTAATAAATCCGAGGTTAGCCGAGCGGCCAAGTAAATTGCCACGCTATCGATCCGAAATACGGAGGTAATAACCCTAAAGAGTGAAAAGAGCGTGTGGACTATAATAAATCGGTATAATTGGACGGTTTTAATTGGCTCGCAATTCAAGGTAATCTACGATATTTTTGCATAGCCCTACCGAAGTTCCTAGTTGGAGTTAAATCAGCCAAATCGGCAGATGGGAAACTTCAATAAAACTTGCAATCACTCAATTTATTACTATTTATAAAAAAACTAACAAAAGAGATTTATTACTATTTATATATTATCCGTCATGAATATTGAGAAGTATTTATCGAAAATTATAATGTCTTACGCATATTGCTTTTTGTTTAAGGAACATCAGTTTTTATCTGTGTATTCTTTATATTGTATAATGTATCGATTTTTATCAATTTAAGTCAATATTATCAAAACCGAAATAGCTTTAACGTCACTAAAATAAGTACGGCAGATAATCAAATTTATTCGATCAGTAAGTCTTGTGTAGTACGGATTATCCTATAAACCAGTGAGCGAAATATTCTTACTCTTTTTATTAAAACCACAGACTTTTATATACTACGAGACTGCTACCTTCGAGCTAAAAAGGAAGGCAAGAGCACCGCCATATTCTGTAGGGCAAATAAAGTAGCATGCGTACGTCTGTGTCTCTACAGGGTGTCGCCGCGATCGAACCATCTAATCTCATCCGACGCCAATCTTATCCGGTGACACCCTGTAGACACACAGACGTACGCATACTACTTTATTTGCCCTACAGAATATGGCGGTGCTCTTGTCTCCCTTTTTAGCTCGAAGGTAGCAGTCTAGTATAGTATATGGAAGTCTGTGGTTAAAACTTGTGTATCTCTGTGTTCGTGTGCATGTGTGTGCGTGTGCATATTGCTCAAACTTTATACATATGTATATTTGCACTCCTAGAAATAATCATACACATATATTCAAAATTGATATAGAGGGGGGGGGGGGAGGGAGAGAGAGAGAGAGAGAAGGAGAGAAAGAGATTGTACCTAATATTTCTTTGTTGACTGACATTAACAAGGATCAAAATGTCAAGAAGGTTGACATAGAAGCGCTATTCTCATCGATTGCCATCTTGGAATCTTCGATCTTCGAATCAATCAGCCGTGGATTAACGTGATACCGTTCATTTGATCGATATCGTGAGATACTATAATCTTTTCTTTCTTTCTCTTTCTAGATATTATATCGCAATTGTTATCATATACTTTCCTGCTTGCTACACCGATAACTCCTACCGGATGCTCACCACAGGCCACATCTTTATGTTCTCACAACTTGACCATTTAATCTTAAACTGCAGAAAATGGCCGTACTGTCTGGAAGTTCTAGTTGGTCCGCGTGGTTTTTCCTAATTGCGCTGGTAACAATAATATATCGATCCGCGGGAAAGCCGTCGCAGCTGATAGGTAAGTAATATCGCACGGCACAAATAGACTCGAATAATTCAACCAAATTGCTACCTTAATTTCTCTTGCGTAATATCTGAAGGTGAATTCCTAGAATTTTTATAAAGCGCGTTGCAAAAAGGTGCGGTTAAATTCATCGTTAAGGTAACTCTATTGTCTGCGGGGAAGTTATAAATTTAACTTTCATCAAAAGGGGAATGTCTAGCAAACTGCGTGTTACGCGACTGAACAGAGAATTAAACTGATTTTATCGTCATTGAAAAACTCACTGATAATGACATAACAGAGACAATTATTCATTCGGACAATCTTCGTTTTCATTTCCTCTAAATTTTTTGTCCTTAAATTGCTCGAGTAATAATCCTATTATAATGCAAATGTAAACGTGATAACTTACGTTTAATAATTATAACGCAAACCAGCAGCGAAATAATGATATTAACGAATAAAGATATTAGAGAAAAGATCCATTTTTATTATCCATCGTACAGACACTAATGAATGGGAGAATAAAAGAAAAATATTTAGAGGAGAAGAAAATTGATCGTGACATAGATGTCGGACGAGCTCATTATCGACGGCAACATGTATTGATAATATCTCCGGTTTCGTTATTCTCGTTTTCCGCGTCATTTATGTCATCGCGGAAAAGCTCGGGGAAATTCTAGGGAAGATCCGCAGGGCCGTGCGCTGCACGCACAGTGGTGTCGTAATATTATACGCAGTACAGCACGCTATTCGCAGTGCAGTAACCACGATTACGCATTACAACCGACTTCTGTGCACTTCCTCGATCGTGCATAGGGATCGTTTATGCATCGACTACCGGCGCGGTGTAAAAGTGCATCGACTTTCGCGCGGACTACTTCTGCCGGCCGCCTCACGTGAGCGCGATTTTCCCGCGAGGTTTTTTGTTCCTCGTCTAGGATATAAACGCGAAGGAAATTGCGCCGTCACGACTCGGTTTCCCGTAACGTTAGCCACTTTGCCGTGTAATGTTGCACTTGGGGAGAATAGCGCGGTTTAAAATTACATCGCGATGCGCGCGATGATATGCAGATTAATACGTACGTTTCCGCAACCGAGTCGCGAAACAACGAGGGGGATCGCTTAAACTTGCTCAAAAGGTTTAATTAGAAGACGTCACTTTCTTAGGCGCACTCTTGATAGAAATTACGGCGCGCGCAAATTAGAAGAATATTAATACTTGGCGACGAATTCCATTCAAAATGCAATTACCTTCAAAGATCGATAAAGACCTAGAAAGGAAAAGGACACTATCGCGTTAAAGTCACGTTATCGCATATCAATATGTAAAACGGCGCGCTATCTTGCTAATTGAGTAACACAAGGTTCGGCGGTGCGGCAAATCGTATATTATCTATAATACAATTTCTCTCTCTTGATCTTGCCTTTCACGCAATCATATAAAATCTTTCGCGGTGCCCACAGCGGCATTATGCAACATATTCTTTCGTAAATGCCCCTTCGCGCGCTTTAGAAAAATAGAGCAACATGGAGTTAAAAATCACAGCTAAATAGGGAGTAGATTGCTTATTATGTATAAGCAACGAAAAAGAGGAGCAGCTTAATTCAAAGATTTGATAGTTGTACAAATGCCGTTGTAAATTGGAAAAGACGATTTGCATCCGCTCGGGAATAAAACTCCCGCTGTAGGACGTAATTCCCGTGTCAGGTTTGCGACATCGCGATAATTTCGTTTTAAACGCAGTAACGTAAAAATAATGTTTCCGCTCTACCTTTCGCAACGTGACAAATAGCTAGAAGGTGAGGGCCGTCATAATTATCTTTCCTTACGACAAGTCGGGACAGGTAATCAAAATTATATATGAAACGACCTTAGACGTGTCTAATGTGTACTATCGCTTCCCTTTTACGTGACGTCAATATGAACGGTTCCACACGAATAGCTGTAAAAATTGTTCTTACGACCCGAATGTTTGTGTCTCAGTATGCAGTCAGCCGGATAGTTTCACGGTCCAAATAACCGAAAACGAACGTGTTGTTTACGGCACCGAATTATTAATCAGATACAATCCACGAGTCGGAATTTTCTCTTATCCCGAGATAAAGCCAGTGAATGTTGTCTTCGACGAAGCCGTCATAGAATTCAAAGGTAACTACCAGTACATCGATAATCAATTTAAACGTTAAATCGAGCAAGAACTGTGCAAATCCATCCACTTAAAATTCCGCATCAATTATTTTACGAAAAAAATTGAGATACGATCTCCTTTTTATTATTATATATTGGCTCGGATAAACTCTGTGTTATTGCCTTAATATGTTACTGAATATTAATAAGCTATTTACCTAATTACGGTAAAGATTGAAGCTTCCAATAGAAAGCTGATGACAAAGTAGAAATTAATTCTGTTGACACATATGTAAATTTCTGATTAAATTGATCAGTTATATCATTAATTTAATATCCATTTTCACGTCTGCCGATATTGCTCCGCTTTTATTTATCCTATGATGTCCAGGCCACACTAATTACAAAGGATTACATTTTTCAGGACGTGTGTCATCTGAACACCCGGTGAACCAACGGTATACCTCATCCGAAAAACTTTCTTGGAACGCTAGTGGTATCATTTTAGGAATCGGTACGCTCCAAGTAAGTTTAACGCTCCATAATCGTTTAAATAACGACCGGAAGAAAATTGAGCGCGACTATTCGCTTTGTAAGATAATTATAGTTCGCCCGTCCGATAATTATTATCCTCGGCTTTCCATCGTTACAGAAACTAAGCAAGGATGATTATGCAGTCCAAGACTGTCGTTTATTTTTACCGACGGATATCAAAGGCAGGTAAGATACGAAATTCTTTGAATTCTATTACGGAAATAAAATAAGATATATCTCCCTGGGGCAGGATTTGCAAACTAAACTGATGAAACAAATTTATTATAAAACGATTTTAAAAATGTGATTTTATAGGATCTAATTATCGATCAACTTTTGCGTAGAGCTGCTTTAGCATGAATCTAGTAGGCAGTAAATTAAATTCTATAATATATAAAATCTATAAATAATAAGATCTTATAAAACCATATTTCTTTAGGCATTTTTAATTTTACAATAAATGCTTTTTCATCCAAGTGGACATATTCTTTTAGCACTAATCTACCAAGAGCTGTGGAAGAAGCGATTATTTATTACGCTCAATCCTGTGCCAAACAATATCTTTGTCAGAGAATAGGAATATTAAAAGCAGAACAACTTCAACATATCAACAGCTATAACGAATACGGATATAATATAGCTCGTGTTATTCGTCCTAACATCCCAAGAGTTGACGTAATCTCATTAACTTTCTTGCCTTATAAATTATATTTATATTATCCGTAGTATTCCAACTTTTCATGTGCAGTTATGCATGAACGTTCCCGTGGAAATCTTTCTCAAAAAAGCGATAAATTACATTAAGCAGAATGAAAGATCCATAATTACAATTCCTAGTGTAACGGAAACATATAATATGGGACTTGGAATGAAATGTCATTTCGACACAAATAAAGGAACCTTCGAGTGAGCACTATTATCTCATAATACAGTTGAGAAAATTAACATATAGCTTTTGTATAACGATATTTTTATTGAACACTCTACTTCAGCAAGAGAATTAATTTTTCAGAGATCTCTCGACTTTAAAGAGAACGGACGATGCAGTCATGTCCAACGTAGGGCGAACACAGATCATACAAGCTGGCTTTGGACTTTCCATGGCTAGGTTTAAGTATAATTATTACAAGGTAAAGTTCAGAGATGGTATTAACGATTACAAAATTATTAATGTAAAAAATATCCCACTTCTGTACTTAATTCTAATTCTATTTATCTTAATATGCAGCTTAGAGTTGGCTTAATCACGGTCAGTGGTAATATACTCGGAACTGTTAATGGATTAGCAATAGCAGCAAAACTAATAATTGATTATGACAAAACGTGCGGCATAAATTTGGAGTACGTCAAAGTGACGAAACTTGGCGAAATCAAACTAGAAATGACCGGTTTAGGTCCACTCAACAGTTTAACATCCAAAGTACTGACTTGGTTGACGAGAATGTGGAAAGACAGAATTGTTAAAGCTGTCGAAGTTAACGCCAGGAATATTGCTGAGGAACAATTAAGCGAATTTATTTGTAAAAATGATGAAGTTGCATCTTCAAATATTTCCTTGAATTATAATTACACAAACTTTACAATTTAAAGCAAACTTTCGAGTGAGTATGCGATAAGCATGTAATTGAAAAAAGGTTCACATACTATGATATACATACACACAATAGTATATTTAAAATACAATATTATCTATACTATTACTTTTTATATAAATATCTAAATCATTGTTAGAAATTTTGTACAAAATTTTAACGTGTCTTAAGAATAAACGATTATTTTTGTTGTATTTTATAGTAAAGTAACTATAAAAAAAACTAAAAATTTGCTATATCTGCAAAATTTTCTCTATTATTCTCACCATTTTATATTACACATGTATATAACACATAAGTATGTGTAATTTTTGAAATATATCTTTTCAAAAATATGCTTGTTAATATTGAGTACAATTTAAGTGGATTCAGGTATACTAATTTCTGTATCAGCGACTAATTCTGTTGGTTTGGCAATAACTACTTCGGAAGTTACAGGTTTCTGTGCATCGTTATCTATGCATTCTTGATGGGAAGAAATACTTTCATCTTGCACTAAAATTTCTTTTACTTCTACATCATCATCAGAATCAGTAACTGCAGGATTATCTTGCATAGTATTATCTTGCGTAGTATTATCGATGTTACTAGTACATTGTACCTGTGTCATAGCATTATCAATGTTACCAATATTTGAATTCAGTGCACGCTTCAGAGCCAAATATTCTTCCACTGATCCCGTTGGAGCTTTTTCAAATGTAACAGTTGCATCAGTTGCCGATGGCTGTGCAGATGCATTCAAGTTTGGCGATTTACTCAGTTTGGATAATCTTTGACGTTCCCTCAAACGTTTCCGAATCTCAGATTGTATTTTCGATTCTTTTATTACACTTTGGACATCGTCCGTCTGATAATAACGCGACGCCCAAGTTTCTGCTGAATCCGACTTTGGTAAAATGGTTTGGGATGTTGACTGCTTATTTTCTTGCTGAGAAAGGACGACAATTTTGTCTTGACTTTTATCCTCATCGCTATTTTCTATATCCATAACTTCACAGTAATCATCTAAATCAATATCATCTATATCTGTCGATCTCTCTTCTTCGACTTTACTTTCTTCTGCCACTTTCTCTTCTGTTTTATCTTCTTCTTCGACTGTACTTTTATTTTCGTCAGAAGCATCTATTGTCGATTTAACACTATTACTTTTATTACTTGATTTTTCTGTAATATCGGTAATATTAATCTGTTTTGACTCTGAAGAGTTTGTAGTAGTAGAAGCAAGTTGTAATTTTCCACGTGATTTTTTCTTGGATTTCTTACGTTTCTCGGCAACGTTATTCGCAGAAATCGATATTGATAACATATTGTTCTTTATATCTACATTTCTCACAGGCATTATTGTTTTACTTGTGTCACTTGTGGAGTTTGTATTACTATCTTGAGTATCTTTTCTCTCCTTCAAATCTTGTGTGCCGGTCTTAGTAGAACTTTCATCTGAATTACCCGCGGATTTTCCAGCTTTCGACGTACGTTCGTTTTTCAATTTTTGATTCGTCTCTGATTCCTCCCCACTATCGCTAGACAATAACTCGACAACTGGTGCAGGTTTAGGAATTACTAAAACAACATCTTCATCCTCGCCTTTAGCATTTTGTTGAGAACTAATAATTCTTTCTAATTGCTTGCGACAATTCTCTTTCGCTTTGTCATCTTGGGATGTTTCAGTACTATTGTCTGTCGCTTGACTGTCATTCACTTGCGACGGGTCAGTGGATGGAATTATATCCTCCTCTTTTCGTATCAAAGCTCTTATTGCGCGAGCTCGCATTTCTAATTCTAATAAATCCAATAAGCTATCACCCTCCTTCCCTTTATCTTTGTCGTCTTCCTTTTTAATTTTAACATCCTCAGTTTTACTCTCACTCTTAATGTTGCATTTTGCTTTAACATTAGACTTATTTAAATTGTTTTTCTTATTAGCTTGCGTTTTTCCTTTAACTTTTGTCTTGTCTCTTTTTAACTTTCCTTTTCCACCATTCTCCTTTTTCGATATATCATCATCGGTTAACCATTCCTCCGTATCAGAAATGATTTCTAAGGACGGTCCTGTTAGAAAAAGATATAAATCAGCAGATTGTTTTAAAAAAGTTAAATTTTATGTCTTATTATTCAATATTTATATACCCGAATCATCAGAATATTCACTCGTGTCTGAAGATTCCAACATAGGTTTGCTATTTAATATAGACAATATTCGAGCTTTCGACATACCATTTAGCTCGCTCTCACACCATTCTTCAAGTTCGCTTAAATCCATTTGCTATATAAACAATAGACAATATGTATTATACTCGTGCATGAAGTTTTCAAACCAAAGCTATTACCAGCTTAAACATTTCATGGCGTAACTCACTTTAAGAACCTGAGGCAGCATGAGACGAATCTTTTCTGGTTTAACAGATTTAAAAAGCTGCCGGGCTAATTCTTTACGATTAAACAAATAATCTCTGATTGGCTTTAAATCTCTCGCATCAATTTCCTCTTCGTCCGACGACAGTGACGAAGACGTATAAGAAGATGCGCTGCTATATTCCTAACAACGAAGGTGTCTTTAAGACGATGTGTTCTAAAGATGCTTTTGTAATATTTTCACAATTTAAAGCGAGATGCTCTACAAACATGATCGATAGCTACCTTGTTGTTGCTCACGCTGCTGGTTTTGGTCTTGGACATATTTACGTCGTTGAAGAAACAATTCCTCCAATCTGAATAAACACCAGCGAGCAGAATAAACTAAATTGACTTGTGAAACAACTATTCGCGTCTGAAAAATGTTGACAGGTTAGATCCCTCAAAATTAAGTTACATTAGTTTTCCGTGCTCAGGAAAATATATTCGCGCGTTAAAAAGGAACCGAGAAAACGAGAGCAACTTACGCGAAAGACTCTACAGAGTGAAATTCGTAGAAATGAGCTTAATGAAGAAAAAACTGCATAACCTAGTGTCCTAGGTTAGTTCGACACCAATCGAAAGTTCTGTTAGCATCAGCCGTGATTGTGGAAGATAGTTACGTTATTTATCAGACACAGCGTGATTAGTGCAGCTTGTTTCTCTCAACAATTGTAATCCGCTAAATTCACGACTCCTGGCCGGTTTGTTTACGAGCGGCCGTGATTTAAACGGGATGCGCCATCGTCCTGGCGCACTCGACGCAACGGTACCGCCC